TTAAAAAGCTTACACATTTCATTTTATTGGAACAGAACTTCACGATAATAATGAATCCATTATATATTAGTCATTCTCGTTGTTTTGGGTCATGTTTTGCGCCAACCCATGTAAGACAGTAAAATTGGAGTTATAAACGGGCCGCAGGATTTGGTAATGGATAGCCCAAGGATTAGAATGCATGGGCCCTGTTTCTTTTTCTTACAAACACTAGTGAGTCGGCAAAGTTGAAAAAATGAAAAGGAACAATGTTTGGATTTAGGCCTAAACCGCTCAGGCCGAACCGGTTTGCAATGTTGAGAAAAATTATTCTCTTCTCACCCTTAGATGTACACACTCCCACAGACGCATATCTTTTAACAATTAAATCGTTTTTCTATTAGGTTTTACTCAAATTTATTTTTACTAAAAAACACCTAAATCGAAAATAATATAACCATTGCATAAATTATGATCAATTTAGTATTTCTTTGAAACATTGTATTTATTTATTTATTTTCTGCACTTCAATTGAATATCTTAATAATTTTGAATTTGTCTAATTTTCTATAAAAATAATTTATACATAATAAATTAAAATATAAATGATTTAAAATGTTAAAAAATTGAGATTCCATTGACATTTTCAATTTTAATTGGACGAGTATTTGTAGTAAACATTATCATTGCATATATGATTAATATGCACCTCGAAATTGGGATGGACCGAGAGCACAGGCCGTTTGACCATGCGCAACAACTACTGTGAAGTATGACTATGACCTATATCTCAACTAGATGCGATTCAACTACGGCTTGCCCAAAATTACCCTCCCCTACATATGATTAATTTTTCTTTGACAATATATATTATAATTAAAGAGTAAGAGAATAAATTCGAACCCGTCAATCATAAAATTTCAATCTACAACCTCTCATTTTTTTCTCTCTAAGTAAACGATATTATATACACTAAGAGGGAGGAGGTTGTTCAGCCTCACAATGAGCTTGTTATAATGTGATTCAAACTCGTCTTTAGCAATAATCGAACCTAAAATTTCTCATTTACAAGTGAAGAGGAATATCATTGGACCGTAGTACTAAGTGGCAAAACCTCTCAATTATAAGTAAAAAATAATACTACTAGAATGTAATACCAACTACCAAGTGACATAATTTTTTTTGTTTTGAAATAGTATATATACTAAAAGATAAGGAAATAAATTAGTTACAAACACGTAAATTAGTTAGAAACACGTCATCTACGATGTTCTTCTTTATCCATTATGGTTATGTTTAAAAGGACGTTAGGGTCAAGATTGGCAGCCGATTTATGAAAAATAAAGAAGCTTCCGAGCAATTAACGAGGTGAGAAGCACTAGATGGAACACGACAAGTTAACATGGGTTCATTTCACTTGGACACAGCATTTGGTGGTGGTGATGGTGATGTTTTATTGTTTTGAAGCAACTTTCACACACAATCACTAGAAACATATAGAGCTGATTGGAGTGGGGATTACTGTTAAAACGGCGGTCATTTTATGTATTAAAATGCAACATTTTCATCATTCGGGGCCGCCTCATAAAACTATTACTGTAAATGGCAATTCGATCAAGTTGAAAGAATATAATAATAGAAGCCAGATGATTTTCACATACCGTTGTTAGTTTTTTATGACTTCTTTGTATTTCTGACAATTAGATTGAAAAAAGTCGAATGAAAACAACAGTAAGAATTAAATAAGAGTGTGTTGAGAGGGCAAAAATGGCGTTTGCTTATCATTTCCGTATTAAAAATAAAATAGTGCTATCCAGAAACCTCTTTTTAATTTTCACATACTCCTCTCAATTTTCAGCTGACAGATCGGATGAATTGAAGAATATTAATAGACAAAAATAAAAAGCGTGTGGTAAAGATAAATAGGTTCGTGAATAGCACTATCCTAACAATATTACATTGGTCCTTAGGTGAATGACAAGTATACTCTATGGATTAAGAGTTCAATAATATTACATGGATCCCTACTTAGTACTACCGGCTAATGGTGTTCATTTTCACTTGTAAGTGAGAGGTCTTATGTTCGATTTTCCCTAAAGACGAATTTGAACCATATTATTATGGATAGCCCACTGTGAGGCTTGGCCCATCTCATCCTCATAGTGTAGATAATATTGTTTGTTTAAAAAGAAATACTATAAGGACCAATAGTTTTTCTTATTTCTCCTTTTATTTGCTAAGACAAGTGATATTAAAGCAATTGGAGTACTAAACTTTGAAAAATAATACAGAGATTTTCAAAAGTAAGACTTTTTATGAAATGAGATACAAACACAACATCAATTAAGCAGTAAAATTAACAATAACCAATCAAAATTATAAAACGTGACTTACGTTTAAGGCAAAAGTTGATGAGAAGAAGATGGGGGGGGGGGGGAATAAGGGTTTTTTTTTTTTAATTATTATTATTATTTTTTTTTTTGAAACAGGGGGGATTAAGGCTTTGGATTGGGTATATTCGAAAATTTGCTTGAGCACAACATAAAGAGTAATGCAATTCATACTATATTTTTATACCACATTTCTATACCATCTTAGGTGACATCTGATGTGGACAATCATATCATTTGAAAAATTTGCAAAACCCAAGGAAATGAAGGAGAAAGAGTCCTCATATACCACAATCATCATTTAATTAACTAGTTTTTCTTAATTATTAATTTATTAAATAATAAACTAAATTAAAAAATCTGATTAATTTAAACAATATGACTGTCTACACCAAATACCACTTAAAATAGTATGAAAATATAATACAAAAAAGTATTACTCCAACGTAAAAGAGGCTACAAAAGTCATAGCCAACTTGAAAAGTAATGCAATCTGGTTTGACCCAACCCATTGAAGGAAAAGAGCGTGGTATAGTGATGTGATCCAGGAGGGTTTTATTGTTCATAAAAAGTATTTAATTAATTTACTTTTTGATGTTTTGGGTCACAACTGGAGTCTGCTACAAGCTCCGAGTAGCTTCCTGCATGCTTCCATATGTCTACTTGTTGTTTATTCTTATCCAAACATATGTCACGCACCACGTCACGCACATTATGATATGATGGAAGATCTTTATATCTTAATTATTTATTTTATATCGTACGATCCGTTTTTATTGAGTATTATTTTTATTTAATTTTAAATAAAAAATTAAATAATTTACGATCACATAATATACGATAAATGATTAAACTATGAGAATCTCTAACATCCTTATAATTTAGATCAGGATATAATCCAAATTCTGATATGATATCAGACGCGATTCCAACCGATGAACCCGGACACTTTTGTTTTCTATTTTATTCACCTTTTTGTCCACTGATGAATCCAGACAAAAGTCAATTCTTGCTCCCCAAGTTTCCCATTAAACCTTTTTTTTTTCTTTTTTTTTGGTCTTATCTTTTGACTCATTTTCACTTCGCAATAGTTACACACGTAATATGAGACTTGTTTTTTTTGGGTGCTTCGAAGTATCGGGTATGTTTGCACAGTTAAATTCCTATTTAAAAGTACAAAAAATTAAGATTTAAGATCTAATAATTAAAACATTCAAAGCACGGAATGCCTTAGAGCACCCAAAACTTTTTTTTTATTTGACATTATACATTTCCCCATTATAAATATCATCGTATTAAAAAAAGAAAAAAAAATTATGTAGCAGCGTTTGGCCCTTTTACCATGTGAACTTCTGAACTGCATCATTAGAATTTTCGATCCAAAAATTTGAAATTTTTTAATATGAACATATTAAAAAAGATTAGAGTGCGTTTTAGGTTTAAAAATTTTGAATTTTCGAAAATATTAGATAGCATATTACTATAACTGCCATCAATGTGTCGGTTTCAACACTATTGCCTATGAGATGTAGTTTCCCACTGGTTTCCTTTCTTTAGTGGCTGCAAATTCGATTTGTGTGGTGTTTGATTGAGGACAACGGAGTCCGCTTTTTGTTTTTTTTGTTTTGGGGTTTGGTTGGGTTTCATCTCTAGCATATGCAGGGTCTGGTCCGTGGTCGACGGCAAAGGAACCAGGCAACTAGGGTTTCTTTGTGTGTTTTTTTGTTTTGGGCTAAACTCTCGGTTTGAGCTCTTTTTTTTTTGGCATCCATCTTTTGTTTTATATTTTATGTCTATAAAGTCTCGGTTTGCATGCATATGTTGTGCTGGTAATAAAATTTACCTTCTATAAACAAAATTTGTACTTTAGTTAAAAAAAAGGGTTAATTAGAAAACAGAAGTAAGCAGAAATACTTAGCATGGACTGGTTGGACTTTCTAATTAATGTTTTTTATTTTATTTAATCTACAATTAAGGATGGATGCGGCAAATCGAAAGTTCAAAATTCAAAGAGAGGGAGAGAATTTTCCATTAATTTAAATTATTAATTTGTCGATCCAGCAGAGCAATGACGTTCATTCGCATGCGACATGTGTAGGGCCCAGGCAACCTCACTGGACATCGTGTCTCTCGACCCAACCCACACACTTGTTGTAATCCCCGGACAAAATAGTCCCTCCTCACTTATGACGTGGCGAACGCCCAGTGCTCGCACAACGAAGACAAACACGATGGCGGAACACCGGATTATTTCGCGGAGCGAGACCGCCCGTCAACGATTCAGAAGAGCCAGAGTTATAAAAAGGGCAAATATTTGGGGGAAATAAAATAAAAGGAAAAAGATTAAGAACGTCCAAAGTTGGTGACGAAAGCAGTGACAAAACAATCGAAAGTGGGCTCGTGCACACGTGTCACTTTCATGCTAAATCGTCGACTGGTGTAACGTGACCCATCTGGCTGCGGTCAGCCCAGCGCTCTATCTCTATCTCTCTCTCCCCTCTTTGTTTCTCTCTCTAGGACTGGGTGGCACTCTCTAGGCCCACGTGTGAGAATTGAAAAGTTGAAACATGTGCTGTGCCGTCTGTGTTGGTGCTGGTGGGTATATATATAACGCCTCTTGGGTCTCTTATGCTCCAATGTTCTGGTTCGAAATCTGAGAAGAAGCAAATTAGCAAGAGCAAGAGGAAAGAGAAGAAGAAAGGAAAAGGGAAGGAGTAAAAGCGAAACAGTAAAAAGTAATCATGAGCGGAGGAGGAGACGAGCAGCAGCAGCAGCAGCTGGAGTTACCGCCGGGGTTCAGATTTCACCCGACGGATGAGGAACTGGTGAACCATTACTTGTGCAGGAAATGCGCTTCACAGCCTCTCGCTGTTCCAATCATCAGAGAAATTGATCTTTACAAATTCGATCCGTGGCAGCTCCCTGGTATGTCAAATTTATTCCCAATTTCAATTAATCAATTTGGTTTTCCTCTTTCTCCCCCAACCCAACCCAAATTTCATTTCTGAAAATTATGGTCTGGGTCGAACTCAATTTTCTATGAATTTTTGAATTTTTTGTCTAATTTTTTATTTTTCTTTTGGTGTGGTACGCAGAAATGGCACTTTACGGAGAGAAAGAATGGTATTTCTTTTCGCCAAGGGACAGAAAATATCCAAACGGTTCAAGGCCGAACCGGGCAGCCGGAACCGGGTACTGGAAGGCGACCGGGGCTGACAAGCACATTGGAAAACCCAAGGCACTCGGGATTAAAAAGGCACTCGTGTTCTACGCTGGTAAAGCCCCCAAAGGAATCAAAACCAATTGGATCATGCACGAGTACCGCCTCGCCAATGTCGACCGGTCCGCCGCCGCTGCCAAGAAAAATCAAAACCTGAGGGTACGTCCGTCTTTCCATTACCCTTTTTCTCTTTTACCATTATACCCTTGGACCCACACACGTCATTGACCGTGGACCATATTTTGTAATTTGACTAAAATATAAATGCATTTATTATTTCGACGGTCAGCTCAGATGTGCAATCTAAAAGAAAGAATATCATATCTAATTATATTTTACATATTATAAGATGAATGTATTAAGTAAATTCATGTACCTTTTTCGGTCTCTCAAATTTTGATCATGTCATCAATGCCTCTTAAGAATGCATGTTGTAACTTCTGGTAGATTAAATTAGAATATCGCTTTCGAAAAATAAATGAATCCGGCTTCAAATATTTTAATCTCAATTTTGTTTAATTACTCAGAGTGCTTATCGTTCTAAATTGATGTTTATGTAATGCAGCTTGATGATTGGGTACTATGCCGCATATACAACAAGAAGGGCAGCATAGAGAAATACAATGTTACAACCAAAATGACCAAATACCCAGAAATATCGGACGAGCAAAAACCTGACATGACTATAATGCCCCCGCCGCCGCATGCAGCATCAAACACGCATCACATGATGGATTCGTCGATGGATTCAGTACCGAGGTTGCCACAGACGACGACGGACTACTCGAGCTGCTCGGAGCACGTGCTGTCACCGGAGGTCACGTGGGAGAAGGAGGTCCAAAGTGAACTGAAATGGAGCAATCAATTGGAGAATTCCTTCAATACCCTCGACAATCAGTTCCTGAATTACATGGATGGCTTCTCGGATATTATGGACCCTTTTGGGGGGCAATTGCAAATGGAGCAGCAGCAGCCCTACCAGTTGCAGGACATGTACTCCTATCTCCACACCCAATTTTAAGCCAACTTACAAGGGTACAATTGGAAAATGGCAAGACGGAGAGAACAAGAAAAAAAAAAAAAAGAGGACCATGATTATTTGATTTAGTACTAGACTACTAGTTAATATTCTTTTGAATTTGGTTACATGATCAATTTAATTTTATTTTGGATGTCTGCAAAAAAAAAAAAGGGGGACGTTTAGATAATGTTAATATGTAATGAGATTCCTGTAGAAAATTTTCATAATTTGTTCCAAGTTATGTACCATAGAAAATTGTTTTATTTTTCTTTTAGAACGTAAGATATGAATGAGAAATTTTTTCTCGATGATCATTTTTTTTTAAAATAGAACGGCTTGAATCTAATTTAATAAATTTTAATGGTAAAAGAAAATCCTAACAACTCAAATCTAAATTCAATGGTCAAAGTAATGTTATTAATTAATCCAAATCAGATCAAACATCAAAACTCCTTTGAAACACATTCCAAGAAAATTATGGAGAAACATCTACTCCAATATACTCCAAAAAAGAGGAGGTATTGTCAATCTAAAGAAGGTGCAATGCATTTACTCTACAAAACTCGTACTCGTATTCGGACACCGAATTCTATCGTCCTTAGATCTCGAAAAGTGATTAGTGTCATTGATTATCGTTTTTAATTTTTAATTTGTGTAACATGCTTTTAAGTATCTTTGTGTAATCCTTTTGTTATTCATGTAATGTTATTAGTTTTATGTAATGTCAAAGGAATTGCTTGTGTTCACCATCACATTCATCATACGATATCCAACTCAAAAATATCTCAACAATATTTTATTGAGAACAAGATAGATTATACCAAATATAATTTCAAAATTATTAGGAAAAAAAAAATCAACAAAGTACAAAAGTTTAACAAATTATAAAGTTGGAGATGGGAATTATACGTCCCTTACCCGCTGAAAATGGGAATTATACGTTCCTTATCCGTTGGAGGAAAAAACTGACTAATTATAGATGAATAGTTGAAAATAAAGGGCTCAATTTTGAGATTCCCACCCTTAGATTGAAGATAGTCTTAGAGCATGACGCATGACTTTTAGCCTAGGCTCGAAGAAGATCTAGCACCAAGTTGTGAAGAAAAGCTTTCTAAAAGTTGTGAAGAAAAGCTTTCTAACACACTCCATCAACCGAAGCTAGTTGGAGCCCGGGGCCCCTTGTGTGGCCAAATGAGCCTCGGTTCTTGCCCAAGACTGCATAAGTGGGCAGTTTAGGAGAAAACTAGTAGTCAATGAAAATCAACCACCTAACACTTTTTAGCATCCAGCCTCTTTTATTATTTTTTTTAACAAACGATATTATCTAAACTAAGGGGAAGAGAGTGAGCTTAGCTTCACAATGAGTTAGTAATAATATGGTTCAATCTCGCATTTGGAGAGAATCGAATCTAAGACCTCTCACTTACAAGTGAAAAAAAATACCAATAGACCGTAGTACTAAGTGACTCTAACCGCACTCACTATTAGAACCACAAAAAAATTGGAAGCCTAAATTTCATGAATTGTATCGGTTCGAAGAGCTGGATTTCGTCTTTAGCCCATGAACCTTACCCTTACCATTAGACATGCTCTTAATATCATCGCTCACCACGGCAGGCAATGGTAGACCACTCTTGCGGAATTGCCAAAGGAAAATTGATACTATCCTTGCGTTGTTTGTTGTACGTTGTAACTTGTATTGGAAGTTTGGAAGTTCGGAAGCTTGTAAGAAATTGCCTTAAAACTGTGTTTTTGGCGTATGAATATGGCTGTATCTTGTGATTAATTTTGTTCCTAAATCAAACCCGAAGGAATGCAAAACTGCGCAGCAAGTGAAGAAAAGCATAAACCAACCCGAAGAGGAAGAGAAGAAGAAGAAATCAAAGCAAACAAGCAAAGCCATGAATCCACCTTAATGTCACGTTATCCTTTGAATAAATACCGTGTTTTCTTTCACACATTTTATCAAACACCTGGGGCACTAGGCGACAAACTATAATTTTTTAATTTCGTTTAGATATTTGTCCATTCAATCATTGGGTAAAAAGCGGATTTGGGAAATGGAGGGCAAGTCTGGGTCGTGGTTGCTGTTGATGATGGTGGTGATGGGTTGGTCTGTAACTTCGTCATCAGCTTCTTTCGGCGACCATTACTATCGGGGCTCTAGGAAAACTGATGCGACGTCGTCTTTGGGGTTCAATCGCGCAGCACCCTCCTCCATAGTATTACCAGTTCACGGCAACGTCTATCCAACTGGGTACGCTCTTAAACTCTTTTAGTTATATCATTCATTTACCTGCAAAAACAATAGTTTTCGATGCTCGTAGCTCATTTGGTTAAGAGCATTTGCCCCGCAGCCGAGGTCCCAAAAATGGGTTTGTTTTGGTTTTGCAGGTCCTATAATGTGACCCTAAACATTGGACAGCCTCCAAAGCCCTACTTTCTGGATCCAGACACTGGTAGTGATCTCACATGGCTCCAATGTGATGCTCCTTGTGTCAGATGCACTCAGGTATAATTATCTCATAATTAAGTTAATTATCAAATGTTAATTAGTGTTTCAAAATAAAATTTACAAACTTTTCCTGTTTAGCATGCAAAGTTTGTTACTTGTTCTGTCTATGAATGTTAAACCGTGTTATCACTATAAACTGATCGTCATCGGAGAAGGGTCCTAAGAAATATTCATCTTCCTCTCTGTTTGCAGGCTCCTCATCCATATTACCGTCCAAACAATGACCTAGTGGCCTGTAAGGACCCCCTCTGTGAAGCCCTGCACTCGCCCGGTTCTCACAAATGCGATGTTCCGGAGCAATGTGACTACGAGGTTGAGTATGCTGATGGTGGTTCATCCATTGGTGTGCTTTTGAGGGATTCTTTTTCCCTCAACTTTACAAGTGGACTCCAGCTACGACCTAAACTGGCCCTCGGGTTGGTAACTTTTCATTGTTCTTTTTGGTTTAAGGAAACTACAAACTTAAACTAACAGAACCTTGCAACTGCCAGTAGAAGGCTTTTAAAAGGTTAATAAAGAAAACAGTTAACGGTGAGAAGTTTAATTAATTTGTTTAAGCAGATTAAACAGTGCAGTGACGGTGGCTATGATGATTTGAAATCAAGTGTACATGAAATGCATGCCTTGTGTCCCACTGGGCACTTGATGAAAACATAACCTAAAGTTTCAGAATTTGGTGTAAAGTAGAAACAAGCATTAGATTAGACTGAGTCGCCACTAATCTATAGTCACTTATGTGCTCGATCTTGGCCATTGAATCGTGTAGTGTTCCTTGTCTACAGGTGTGGATATGATCAACTTCCTGGATCATCTTATCATCCCATTGATGGAGTCCTCGGCCTTGGCAAGGGAAAAACCAGCATCATATCACAACTTAGCAGTCAGGGTTTGGTGCGAAATGTCATTGGTCACTGTTTAAGTGGCCGAGGTGGGGGGTATTTTGTTTTCGGGGATGACATTTATGATTATTCACGCATAGTTTGGACACCAATGTCACTTGATTACTCGTAATGAACCCTTCTTGAACTCTGTTTTTTCATCTCAGTCTTTTTTGTTTCATCTTTTTGTTTCGTTTGATATATCCTTAGTAGTTCAATCATAACTGTATTTTCCTTCCTCGTTTATTCTCCTTGTGGTTTATCTCAGAAAACACTACTCGCCTGGCCCTGCGGAACTCATGGTTGATGGGAAATCTACCGGGATTGGAAACCTACGCATGGTTTTTGACAGTGGGAGTTCCTACACTTATCTCAGTTCTCAGGTTTATCAATTTTTGACTTCATGGGTAAGTTAGAGCTTTATCAAAAAGTAGCTGGCATTTGGATTACCAGGATTGGCAAAGATTTTTCCGACCATAATTTGACATGTTAATCCCTTTCCATTTCCTTAAATTACTGAATTCCTTCAAAAATAATGAACTTAACATTGGTCTGTCTCTCTCATGAAGTTTTTTATCCTTTTCCAGTTAGAATTTTTCCGAATGGTAGTGTCTTCTGCTTTTTTTCGGTTACTTTAGAAGAGTAGTTGATTCATTTTTGCGCTTGTCTTATTGCAGTTGAAAAGAGAACTAACTGGAAAGCCTTTAAAAGAAGCTCCAGATGACAGAACTCTCCCGCTCTGTTGGAAAGGTCGCAAGCCATTTAAAAGCATACGAGATGTTAAGAAATACTTCAAGCCCTTAGCACTAAGGTTCAACAGTGGTAGAAAAGACACAGCTCAGTATGAATTGCCCCCTGAAGCATACCTAATACTATCGGTGAGTGAAATTCGCCTTCCATGATCTCCCTATCTTTCTTCATTTTGATTTCCATTACAAGGACAAGAAATTTGTGTTTGGAAACTAATGATATATATGTTCCGGCAGTCCATGGGAAATGTTTGCTTGGGAATTCTAAATGGTACCGAAGTTGGACTGCAAAATTATAACATCATTGGAGGTAAGAGTTTCCATTTGTATGTGTTATGAAGCATGACCTCTAATTTTAACGGCAAACACAACGCCCCTTCAATTTTTACGTGGGATTCACACTCCCAACACAATATTGATCGTTTTCTTTCTGTTTTGGGTTATTTATTTATTTTCACAGACATTTCAATGCAAGATAAGATGGTGATTTATGACAATGAGAAGCAGATGATTGGATGGGCTCCTGGAAAGTGTGATCATCTACCCAAGCCTAGAAGTAGCTTCAGCTTTTGGTGATGCTTTCTCAGGCACCAGGTCAACAAATGTTGAGCATACGAGGATGTTGCCCGTTTCTCAGGCACCAGAGCATTCTCTTGCACAAAGAAATGTAACACATATATAGGGTTTAGGGTGAATAATTTATATGTATATATACATTCTGTATATTTCCCCCATTTCCTCATTTATGTCATCTAAGTCGATAACTTCTCTCTCATTTCCTTCCACTTCCCCTGTTCCAAGTACACCAATTTGCTTTTGTATTTACTCCCCCTTATCTGGTAATCTTGAAACCATTGCCTGCAGACATTGTTAATCACAACGGAAAATCAATTAATGATTCGGACTGTATCATGCGCTACTGAAAAAGAAAGAAAGCTATGTTCAGAATGACACTCAACTGATTTTTACATCCCCTTTTATACGATTATTTAGACTAAACTTAATAGATTTTGAACATCTTCGCCGGAAACCAGGCCTAAACTGCTAACCAAAGAAGATAGTGTGTAAGAATACCTTATTTGCAAGAGTTTGTGACTGTATTTTGTAAACGGAAGGCGAGAGGAGGAAAGTCTTCACTATTAAGGAAGGAGGAGAGGAGGAAAGGAG